TTTTAATAACACCCAGACCTCCTTGCCTCAGAGTCTTGCCACTTTTGATTAAAAAAAAAAACAACAGCATTTAGAACCAACCATGTAGCAGCTAACTCCTGTACAAACATGACCTCATTCAACCTAAACAATCTATATGAGTCCCATCATACAAATGAGAAAACTGAGGCTCAGAGAGAATAAGTGACTTACCCATGGTCTAATAGCTAGTAAGAGAATGACATGGGATTGAAACCCAGGCCTGCCTCCACTGATCTCACGCAGTGTTCTGAAAGGCAGGCTTACCCAAGCCAGCAAGGAGGTCAGATGAACTCACCAGAGCCAGAGTGGGGCTGGGCAAATTGTGTTGTGGTCAAGATTGAATTTATTAACCTCAGTCTCCCTTTCTCTCTGATTATGAAGTTATTTTTTGAGCAATAAACATATTTTGGGGCCAGCCCCGTGGCTCACTTGGGAGAGTGCGGCGCTGGTAGCCCCACGGCTGCGGGTTCGGATCCTATATAGGGATGGCTGGTGGGCTCACTGGCTGAGCGTGGTGCGGACTACACCGTGCAGAGGGTTGCGATCCCCTTACGGGTTAAGAAAACCAAAAAACATGGGCCGATCCCGTGGCTCACTCGGGAGAGTGCGGTGCTGGGAGCACAGCAGCCCTGGGAGCGCCAAGGCTGCGGGTTCGGATCCTATATAGGGATGGCCAGTGCGCTCACTGGCTGAGCGTGGTGCAGGTGACACTAAGCCAAGGGTTATGATCCCCTTACCAGTCTCACACACGCACACACACACACACACAAAACAAACATATTTTGGAGGTCCTTGAACACATACTACTGAATTGGATATGTTCATAATCACAGCTTAAAAAAAAAGAGAAGAGCAAATGACATGCAATAAATAACTTAGTCTCCTCCAAGTCTTGTTCCAAACCAACCTCATTTCTATAGGTTTATGGAGAAAATTGTCATTTCCATGACAACCAACCAGCAAGCACTTAGTACAGCAGAACTGACTCAGAGCGGCTTAGGGATTTGGATGTCCTGCATGGCTGGGAGAAAGCACAGGAATCGGGGTGGTGGGGAAGAGAAGGACAAAGGGCTGGGGCAGGAAAGAAAAAGGCTGCAGATTGCTGTGGTGGAAGGGGAAAAGCTGGGACGAAAGAGAGAGCAGGAGAGTCAGGGGTCCTGGCCTGGGAATTCTTTCCTACAGCTGCCTTGTCCTCTGGACAGGATGAAATAATGCCCAGTGGATTGCACCATTGACTCATCATCATGGTAATATCTAAGACAGGTGTTTACCCTACAGCAGGTGCAGTTCTAAGCATTTATCTCATTAATGCATTTATATTATATACTTACAACAACCTTACAAAATGGGTACAATTGTTATCCTTACTTTACAGATGAGGAAATTGAGGTACAGAGAGGTGAAGGGCATTGCCCAAGGTCACACATATAAATGGCAGAGCTGGTTTGGAACCCAGCGGTGTGGCCCCCACATGACGCAAGCCCTGCCTAACCACGTTCCACGTGGCCCTCATGGGCTCGTATTGCAGTGACTTCGTTGTCTAAAGCACGGTAACCATGATGGGTGGTACCCAGGAACATCTTCTGCCACAGTGACTCCACAGTGTTGCCTACAAAACTGTGCCCTTACCTGTCCAAATGGCTACCATTTTTGAGCACTTACTACAAACTAGCCATTGTGCTAAGCCCTTTAAGTATATTATCTCATTTAACCTTTACAATGATGGGAAGTAGGTACTTTATCTTCATTTTACAGGTGGGGAGACTAATGTTTAGAAAAATTAAGTAACTTGCATAAGGTCACAGAGCCTGGAAGAGGTGAAGCTGAGATTTGAACCCAAATCTAAGACTCCAGAAATCATGCTGTTAAAAACTCTGTGTCATTTCTGTATTGCTTATTTAATGTTTTTATTGAGAAATTGTCCAACCTGGGAGAGTTTATTTATGTAAAAAATATACAACCAAGTAGACTGATTTTCTTGCCTTCAGAGAGTGTACATAGGCACAAAATGACCATTTCTTTGGGATGCTATATGAGGTACAAGTGATTTTATGAGTCAGGTTGGAAAACTAGATGTTATGATTTATGATGTATCAGA